CCAGACACATAATGACTTAGGAGTCATCGTTAGCCAAGACTTAAAGACTACTGCACACTGCCGTGCTATGTATGTATGACATGGTATCGTGGTATGAAAGAAATCTGCAAACAGCTGGCTTGTGTTGGCCCTTCACGACTCCCTGGCTGGGGTCCGAGAGATGGTGCAACACAGTGGTTAGAGACGTTATCAGATATGTCTCAGAATAGAAGCCAGTGGCGATCCTACTGTACTTTTTTACTTTCTTCATAAAAAGTGGTTGCTTCTTCCTTAACTGAAAGATCTCTTCTGATTGTACCTTCTCGTTTCCCCCATTATTATTATTACGCTAACTTACCTTATTCTGTTCGTTAGTTTTTTTACGCTCCTTACCTTTTTCTTTCTCATCAAATTACCATTGTTTTGTGTGGCGCATATATATTTGGTGCCCTCTTGTACCAATATTTATGTATTCGAATAAATAAATACGTGCAATAGCCGCCACAGGTTTAAGAACCTTATGGTCAATACATAAGACCTTTAGACATGTCGGCGTTAAAAGGTTTTTGACTTTGTATACAGTGTTCGTACGTCCTAAACTTGAGTGCTGCATACAAGCGGCTAGCCCCTGCTTAAAAAAGACAGTGAGCTTTTGGAAAAGGCTCAGAGAACAACAACTAAGCTGATTCCCGGAATTGCGAAGCTTCCGCATGATGCTCGACTGGTCAAGCTAAACCTATTACCGTTGTCATATCGCAGAACTGGAGGCGACTTGATTGCAGTTTTCAAATTGCTTTGTGATAAATTTGTACCTGATATGCCCTCATTTTTCTTGTCTTCCAAAACAGAGAATTTACGAGGACACTCCTGAAAAGTTCACAAGCCAAGAACAAATTACTTGTCAGCTGACTATCGACTTTCCCATCGAATCATCAACGAGCGGAATTCATTGCCTCAGCACGTGGTTGAGGCTCCATTCGTCGATTCTTTCAAAAGAAAGTTGGATCAACTGCAGTCTTGCTCAGTAATATCATTGTCCTACTGACAGGTCTGCAGAGCAAGTTGTCGGCAAACTTGGGAAAAGACAGTCAAAAAATGGGTAGAAAAACAAGAGAGCGCATTAAAAACAAGAACAGGGATGTCGACAGGTCTACCAACGACGGAGCATGTAACAGCATTAATGATGACACGCTGAAACTCAACACCATGATTACGACGACAGTACTCGACCCCATCAGCAAACTTGGGTCTCACAGCTCAAGGTCTTTGAACGCGACAATGGTTCCCAAAAACTCTGTAGGTGATTGGACCCATGTCAAAAGAGCTAAAAAGGGCCAGGCGTCACAGTCTAAATTGAACACTACAGCTGTTGAACGGAGGTCAACTGATGATCTGGTCGCACAGTCTACCCCCAAGATTATCCATCCGGTCATCAAAGAGCCAAGGATTCATAAACGTGCTTCGACCCCCAAACAACAAGGTGCTAAACCTGAACGCACCGGAAAACCTGGGACGACAATAACGGTTCGTGATGATACTCTCATAGTCATCAACTTCAAAGACAACCCTGACCTTCCTCTCAGTTTGCAGGACAAAAATGATCGGATGCTCTGGGGAGAATTCAACAATAAACTTGGACTTCCAAGAATAGAGCCTTTGACAGTCACACGGCTCACTCGGGGAAAGGAATCTATGCATCAAAATCACACGAGGCTACTTCGTGTAACACTTAAGAATGCTACCGACGTAGAGGATGTCTTACTGGCGAGTCATTTACTGAAGTCAGATGGGAATGTAAGAATACTGCTTGACATACCGTATTCTGAGCTCAATCTCATCCGGAACATCCCCAAAGAAACTCGCGATCAGTTTTTCCGCGGGAGGAATATAATCGTGCAAGGTATAACGGAAAATACGGACCATACTCAATCAAACACTGACATCAGGGAATGGAAAGTCATCAAACAGTCCTCGAGGCTCAAACACATACTGACTCAGCATGTGACGAGACTAGCCAAGAAGGATGGTGATTCTAGACCCCGTCTAATGATGATAACCTCCCCATCTTCCCATATGGCGGCTGCAACTCTGAAAGCATTTCGTGCCAACAGACTTCGACTGCCACCTGGAATCCACATGCACCCGGATAGGCTATACGAAGTTAGGACCAAACACAAAGGCAAGTTGGAGCTGATCATTCCACTTGTGAACTGTCTAGACGATAAAAAAACGTGTAAAGGACAGGGTCTACCACCTCGGCAAACCTCATGTAGGTGGGCTACCTGTCCATTCACGTAAAGCTCATATAGACAAACAGGAAGAAGCTCACGCGTTCCAAATTGAAAGCATAAACTGCTTATATAGGAACGCCGCGAGTCCACCAAACAGATTAGATGAACTACGTGAACTTAGCAATGCTAATAAGGCCCATCTGATAGGAATATCTGAAACCTGGATATCTTCTCAGTTCTCGGACCATGAGTTAGCGTTACCTGGGATGTCTTTGTTCCGCAATGACAGAAAATCAGGATTTGGGGGCGGAGTAGCTGTTTACATACGTTCTTGCTTGGAGGTGCACCAAGTTCATAACCTCGAGTTTAACAATCTTGATGAATCTATATGGTGCTCTGTAAGATTGTCCAGTACTTCGAGGTGTCTAGTCGGAGTCATTTACAGGAAGCCAACTTCCGACATCGAGTACGATAGTCGTATGCTGGAAGGACTATTCCTCTCTACTCGTCTCGGTTTCACACACATCCTGATTCTAGGGGACTTTAATCTCCCTAGAGTCAACTTCGCGGAACATACGTATACTGGAGGCGACAACTCAATTGAAGCTCGGTTCTTCAACCTCATCGATGACTTGGGATTGTACGAAAATGTGAGGTCAGCAACTCGTTGGAGAAACAGTCAGGCACCATCGCGCTTAGACTGTGTATTCACAAACGAAGAATTTCTAGTTGACAACCTCTCAATCTTGGCTTCCCTGGGAAAAAGCGATCATACCGTCATAGTCTTCAGTGTTGTCAGCAAAACTAAGCTAAGATACCACACCAATAACTTGCGTTGGAATTTTAAACGGTTGAATGTGCTAGCTCTACACGACTCTTCAACGAGTGGTTTGGGATGTTCACCCCCAACTCGATGTGGACGGTCATTGGGACTTCTTACTGCACACTGTAGGTCTTAACGGCTCGACCAACAACGATAGTGATGCCGCTAACCTTCTGGCTGAACATTACTCCCAGACATTTCAACCGAACGACATTAACTTTACTGATGACAGTTTTGTTTACAATTCCACAAGACTTTCCGAAGTGAACCTAAGCACTGACTTGGTGTTCCGGAAACTGCAGCACTTAAGATTAGACACTTCTCCTGGCCCGGATATGGTCCATTCCGCCATACTGAGGGAAGCAGCCTCAATCTTGGCAACGCCGCTTAGCGTGATGTTCTCACACTCGCTAAGTCGAGGAAAACTACCGGAAAACTGGAGGCTGGCTCACATCACACCAATTTTCAAAGGTGGTCGCCGCAATGAACCTTCAAGTTACCGGGCGGTAGCTCTTCTGTCGTTACCTTCAAAACTCATGGAGTCCCTGATATGTGACGGTTTAAATGACTACCTACTGTCCTTAAATTTCTTCTCACCCCAACAGCATGGTTTCAGGAAGGGTTACTCTTGTATAACCAACCTGCTGACTGCGGTGGACAGATGGACAAGTATCCTCAATCACAACGGGAAGGTTGATATCATCTACCTAGATTTCTCAAAAGCTTTTGATAAGGTTAACCATACATGTCTTATCAATAAGCTCAGACGATTGGGTATCAGACCACCTCTAATCGATTGGCTTACTTCATACCTGAAAAATCGACATTTTAAGGTTAGGGTTAATTTCACTTTATCTCAGGCTATGGAATGTCCTGGTGGGGTCCTCCAGGGCTCAGTACTAGGACCTTTTCTCTTCTTGATCTACATAAATGATTTTCCTCAACAGGTAACGTCAGACGTATTACTTTTTGCCGACGACGTGAAACTTTGGAGAGAGATACGCAACCAAGACGATGTACAGGCACTTCAGGAGGATCTGACTCGACTTCAAAGTTGGGCAGACGATAACGGACTTACCTTTAACACTTCTAAGTGTAAAGTAGTCCATCTGCGACATGTCGCAGGCTACGGTTATAACTTAGGTATCTCCTCTCTAGTAGTATCCCAAGTCGAAAAAGATTTAGGAGTCCTGGTGCCCTACGATTTGAAGTCTTACGCTAACTGTGATAAAAATGCCTTCCGAGCAAACCTTGCACTGGTAACATTGAAACCCATTTTTGGCCAGTTTGACGGAAGAACTTTCCATATAATCTTCAATAGTTTCATCCGTCCCCATTTAGAGTACGGAAACGTAGTATTTCCTCTCTCACTTCAAAAGGATAAGAACACTCTGAAACGTATCCAACGGCGAGGCACGATATCAGTTCGAAGACTCAAATTTAAACCTTACGAAGAACGCCTCCATTCACTTAACCTTTACCCATTAGGGTATAGACGTCTTAGAAGTGACCTGATGGCTTGTAGTATCCCTAACACTTCTGGACATCCTCTCAAACACCTACTTAAGGTTAGTTCCAACACTAACCTAAGAGGCAACACCCAGAAACTGGAGACACAATATAGCAGAACGGACTGTAGACAGAACTTCTACTCCTTAAGAGCTGTCTAATGCTGGAATTCGCTGCCGGCAGAGCTAGTCCAAGCGACTTTTCAGGAGTCCTTTAAGAGGCAACTTGATCTATTCTTAAGGACTATGGATAGAATCGCACTATGATTTATTAATTTCTTCTCCTGTTTTATTGTAAACATACCTAGGTTCCTGCCTTGAGGATTTAGTGATCCCATGCTACTAGACACGGAAGCCTGTTAAGCGAAAGCTTCTTCTATTCCGTCCACAACCATTTGAACCTTTTGAACAGTGCCTATTGAATAGCGGCAGCTTTAGGGTGTGCGTTACTACACAGGCATGAGAATATATAGGTGTTGGTTTTGTTCGAGTCCAATATACCCTGGTCACGGGATTCTATTTGTCAGAAATGACTGTAAAGTAAGGTTCAAATTTTTTTGTCTTTGTCAATCAATTTTTGCGATCAAGCTGCTTGTTACATCTCAATGAATGTATATGGCTAAAACGAGCTATCAACAAACCTTTAGTAACGTTATATGAGAGATAAATAATCCGATTTGTAGGCTCTTCAGTTAGCAGCGTTAGCGTCTGTGTCGAATTCAGTAGGATTCAGCAACCTAATCTCTCTGAAGAAGTAGCTTGCACCAAGTCACGAAACAACAGTTATAATTTCTGTTCATCGGGTCACCGCAAATTTCTCATTTGTTCATCTGTTGCTAGTGAAATAAGTTAGGCACTTAAAGTCTTGATCACAATCAAGTGAGGTGGAAAATGGTATACGTTCAATAAATTGTGTATGTCTCAAATTATATCAATGATATTTGTAAATTGATGTTAATAAGAATTCAAGGTGATTTATTGTAAGGTACAAACAGAGGAATTTTACTATTATATTAGGGTTACCATTAAGTTCGTACTTACCTATAAGTCGACCAATTTAATAAAGTACCAATTTATGTCCATATAAACATAATAGCAACTGTTGAGAGTTACAGTTAAACTAAAATGTAACCAAGGATTGTCTTCCTTGTAATTAGACAAAGACCCTTAAAAGGATTATTAATCTGAACTCAATTTTGAGATCTATCTAGACCTGTGATTTATACCGATTCAAATAAACTAAATGTTTTTGCTTGTCAAACATAAATCTATATATTATCTCAACTGTAATCAATCGTAGTTCAACTTTTATGAATGCTCGATAACCGCATCTCGCTTAATTTATAGGAATTCCACCCTGCTTGTTTAATCGGTTCTACCTGTTTATCTAAATAATATAGAACGACTTGTTATCACGAACGTTGATAATCTATAGAATAAAAGTTTAGTTTTACTGAAAAGCACAAAAGACAATGCCTTTATGAGTACGTCTGATGACAAATGAATTATGTGGCCTTTACCATAATAAAATGAAGTATGTTGTCAGCACTAAAGACTCATCCAACGTGAAATTCACCAACTATTCCTGTCATTTTTGAAACAAACCAAGTTATGGCCCTGCTGGTTGATTTAGAGTCATTAATTTTCGATTTCTTTGGTATATGTTTAAAAATTCTTTTGGATAACATTCTGTATGTTCCACGAAGACATGCTAGTGCAGGAATGGGTAAACGCAACTATTTAACCAGATTCGGTCTTTTATCTAAGTTAGTTTCTTCGAATAGCTCTTGTTTCATAATTCATAATTAACTCCAGAGTAGGAAAGTTTATTATTATAATGGTTTTTAGTTTACACTTATTTCTCACACCGAAATAATCTTGTTTGACTAAAAGTTTGTAAGATGCATTATTTTAGGGGAACAAGTGGCATATGAACCAATTATTGGTCACCGGCTACCATGAGACTACATCTCCTTACGTTACTCCACTGTCTTGTGGATCAGACCTTTAGACCGAAGGCTCTGGGTGTAGCCCTCTAAGAAAACTACCTGCGTTGGTATGGGAACCCGGGAAGTATTACAGCCCACACACGAATCAAGTAACTTTTGTTGCGCATATGTATTTGGTGCCCCTTTGTACCAATATTTATGTGTTCAAATATATAACATTTAGAACAAATGTTGATCTTAGTACTTTTAATATGGATGTATTACAGACAAAAAATACGATTTTTCAAGGATAAAACATAACAATGCAATTTTTGTATTGTTAAACGTCGGGACAATCGTGTATTTGGTATTTCGAATTTTCCATTTTAATATGGAATGATCCATCGAGTATATGCGTATTTTAGACGATTTTCCAGATATTCTACGATTATTTCCAAATTGATGTCACTACTATTCTATTCCTAATAAAATGCTGTTATTAACGTTTAATAGCTTTCGTAATTATGAATGTTAGCATGAAAATATATTAGAAATGGTTAACATAATTCAAACAGTCTGTATGATCAAATAATTCGTACTTACTGATAGATATAGACTAATTCCTTAGAATAGGCATGTTGAAGATTCGTCGAAATGATATCCAACACCGAAAAGTTACTTTTATTTAAACCTCACTTCCGTAGAACTTCATATTAATTATCAAGCAGGTTGACTAAGTTCTCAGCCTCCCTGTTCCAAATAGATGTATGAATGGGTTAATAAGAGTATCACACAACTGGATTAAAAGATTACCGTGCTTGTTGAAAGTAGACTTCGTTGAGTCTACATTTTTGAGTGGTCGTAGAGGCAGTGAAATGATAACTCGAGCTAATTTCACACCCGTAAAAATTTTGTTCTTCATTTTATTGCTCACCCTTGTTGGTGTAAGCCTATTTTGATCGTACCCTTTTCCACTCGTCTTTTTGCTTGGACGCTTATGAGTAAATACAGATTCTCTATATTCATTACCTTAAGCCTCGATAGGTTATTGTAAGACATATTTATACACTGTTGTACATGTTTGAAGTCTTTGTCTTATCTAAGAGAAATGACAAATGAAGGTTTGTTTTTATCGTAAATACAAGTTTAATAATACCTAGTGATTGATGAAATGTGGAATAAGTTTCCAACAAAAAATTGAGACAGATCATAATAAAAACTAATTAGAAACGAAGGTATAATGTTTCTCAGTCACATTAAAATAATATTTTACAATTATATTGTGGACAGAGACAAAGCAATGATGAGACACCTTAATTTATAGTGATCAATCAAATTATCCTTCCAAGTAGTTTAACAAATAAATTTGAGGTCTCTCGTCATAACTAATACTTTTTCAGTTATATATACATAAATTGCTCTAAAGGACCTGAATTCCAAATCTATTTCATATGAATGACCTCTTAACCCCTTCAGTATAAATCAGGTTTTCGGAGTTATTTTGGTTTCCATACATTATCATTTAACTTTCGTATTACTTGCTCATCATTCATCTAGGAATTCCGTTTCTGTAGAGGAAAGTGTCATAAAGCGTTTAAAAAGCATAAAAATCCTCGCAAAGTAAGATGGACTAAAGTTTCCAGAAGAGTTCGCGGGAAAGAACTAACTGATGACCTTTCCCAAACATTTGAGAGGAAGCGAAATTCATTGCTGAAGTATGAACGAGCAGCAGTTCAAAAAATCGGTACATATCATAAGCTAATTTGATAAAATCTTTTCCAGTTGCTGCTGTTCCAAAAATTGATCAGATCAAGCATAAACGAGAATCCGCATTTATCAAAAAACGACTTTCGAAAGGAGTACAGTTGCGTAGAGAAGAAGATATTAAACTTGTTAACACACAAATGCATCTTATTGAAGCCCCAGGAGGTAGATTTGGGAGTTTAATCAATAATGATTTAAAATCCTATTTTATAGCCAAAAGAAAGCGTGAACTAATGGATGTTGATTCTGAAACAGATTTGTCAGAAGAGGAAACAATGGACCTTTCATTTACTGAACTCGAGAAGGAGACAAGTAAAAGAAAAGCAGTTGATAAGTCAAAAACTCTTGGCAAGAAACAAAAAATCGCTTTGGAAGCTAGCTGATTGAAATATATTGATTTTGTACTTATTTGAATTACTATTATATCTTTCATCTTACTGAAGTATGCACTTCCCCATTTCTAGCTTGTCATTTATGGGTGGTAAATTATAGTTTCTAAGAATTTCATCACCACTCTTTCATCTGTCGTCGTTCACTGAATATCAGTCTAAGTGATTTTTGTTCAACGGAAATAGAAAGTCAAAATTTAGGATAGACAGTTTCTACTCCTTGTGTTTGTTAATCTTTGAATTCTCTCGGGATGTCGTAAGTACCAAGCTGTGCGCTGTTTACAGAATGAACGACATTTGTTTAGAGGAATACATTATGTTCTTATTTATGGTTCTGTAAGTACCACTGGCCTTTGATAACTGGTATTTGCTGTGCCTATGTTTACTGCTAAAAGAAGCACAGAGCAAGTTTGTCTCATTTAACACTGAAATTCCAACTTTAAATGGTTGTTGTAGATAGTTATCATTTGACCTGATAGTGTACAGTGGTGTCCGTGGAATATATAAATATTCATTTTCGTTCTATTCCACTACAGAGATGCTGTTTAAAGTACTTATCTCTACCCTTTGTTCCTCAGTGATTCCTTTTTTAATCCGATAACTTTCTAATTAAAGAAATTGATATTAAATCACGAATCAATCTAAGTTATTCCACCCTTGAAAACCTGAAAGTAATGGGAGGCCGTTTAGTCCTAGTATGGCACTCATCAACACGGATCCATGCTCCTGTGCACGAGACTCGAAATTGGGACGTCCGGTCTCGCGTGTGGACTCTTGAGCTGAAGACCGTTGAACCGGCATCCAACGGTGTAAGTGCCTGACTCCAGTCAATCCATGGTTTTGTGCAGTCCTTCATCGATCGCCTGATGTGGATACCGTGGACACGGGTTGAACTCCATCGGTCACGGCATCTCACTAGGACTCCAGAAGTTTCATCTCGAAGCTAGTCACTAGTGAGCACAAATTCTCCATATTAATATCAAATCTCTCTTAAGAAAATATCCTTGTTGGTATCCAAGAATTACCCTACAATATGTGTTGGAAACTCTAACATATCCAAATAATTCTAGTCTTACAGTTGATTGCTTGCCGAAATCTGTTGACTTATGCTACATATAATGCCAATATTCAACAACTACAGATACCACTTGATAATAGGTAGGTATAAATGAGAAATAAAATTTCTTTTTTGATATGTGGTGTATCTCATAGTCCTATTTTATATCTACCCCGACCGCTGTTGCTACCTCGACGTGGTGGTCGGGCTTGCATATCGTGATGAAGCAACCGAGCTATAATGGCTGGAACAACCGTTCCTCAAGGTCCTGCCATGTCAGACAGGTTGGTTGAAGGGCAATAAGACTAAAAGCAACAAACCTAAGGTCCGAAGGCGAAGTTGTACTGCTGACTGTACATACGTTTAACAACAGTAAGGTGTTTCCTTCAGACAACCAGCGTGACAGCGATGCTGCCTTCCCACAAGGAGGGGTGAGGTTAGAAAAGGTCGACCCTAAAAATGTCACACCTTGCCTTATCCCACGGATATCCGTCTCCGGTGGTAAGGTATCAACAAGTACGGGGCTAACAAAAAAATTACCCATAAAAGGGTCGTGTGTGACCGACCTCAAACAGTTGTCTCTTGGGTACTGCGGTCACGCTCTCAGGTCACTAAGACCACCTCTAATCCAATTTCCTTTTCAGGTACCTCCAGAATAACCCTTCCACGGTGTGGGCAACCGGGAAGTGATAACCGCCCCCATACCTCTAACAGCACTCAAGACCACTGTATTCATAATCAACCTCCATCTTCACTTCCTATTATTCCTCCTACATCGACTTTCACCTCTTAACTTCCTTTTTCGGCTTCCCCCTCAAGTGTCACCATAGCCAACGATTCTAGTGCTCAAAACACTGTTCCAGGTCTACTGAAACCTCGCTCCAAACTACACATTGGAGCCTTCAACGTACGCACCCTATGTCAAATCGGTCAACAGGCTTCCTTGGCTAGAACCATAGAATCTCGTACCATTGATGTATGCTGTGTCTCTGAAACACGCACACAGGATCCCAGTGTGGTCATTCACTTGACCTCATCTCAGCAAAACGGAGAGCCAACGAGATACACCCTCCGTGTATCTGTTGACCTGACGGCCAGCTCTCGTGGACTGGCAGGAGTAGGGATAGCACTAAGCATGAGGGCGGAACAAGCACTGTTAGAGTGGATCCCCGTTAACAGTCGTTTATGTGCTGTTCGGCTAAACGGCTCCGTAAGAACTCGGAAGGATAGGGACACACGTCGTTGTCTTTTCGACATTCCTGCCTACGCTCCCACCGACTGCAGCTCAGATGGAGTGAAAGATGAATTTTACAGAAAGCTATCTGAACTTCTTCAGAAAGCTAAACGTTCAGACATAGTACTCGTAGCAGGTGACTTTAATGCCCAGATAGGTAGTTTAAACCAAACGGAAAGGCATTTAGGTGGGTATTTTAGTATTCCGGCACACTGAACAGATAATGGTGATCGTCTGCTGCAACTGTGCTCAGACAATCGTTTATTTTTAGCAAACACAAATTTTAAGCATAAGGAGAGACATCGTCTAACATGGCGACCCCCTACACCAAACCAACGATGGACTCAACTAGACCATATTGCCATCAGTCATCGTTGGAGAGGGTCGGTAGAAGATTGTCGCTCATTCTGGTTTACCTGCTTGGCCTCCGAACATACCTAATACGGGCACGCATCTGCTTGCGCCTCACTGGCGCGAAAAATTCACACTTAAAAGACTAATTAGAACTGGATTGAGTAACGAGAAAACCAAAAGTAGGTTCCAGGAACAACTGAGGTCACAATTAGGTAGTTCTGAAAACAAGGTTGACTCAGATGTTGCTTGGAAAGATATACGAACAGCTGTGGAAACAGCAGTGACATCTGTTAGTGATTTAAACCACAGGGTTACAAAGAACCAATGGATTTCCTCTAGGTCTATTGCACTGATGGATTCTCGTGAACTCATCCCATCAGGCTCTGAACATGATGAGGAACAAAAACAAATCAGATCTAGGTTAACCAAAAGTCTAAGGAACGACCGCGAGCAGTGGTGGGCAATGAAAGCAAAAGAGATGGAAAAGGCGGCGGCTATAGGGAATACAAGACAGATCTACAGACTAATAAAAGGAACTGGAATTAATAAGTCAAGTGTAAGTGAGATTATTTCGGAAAAAGACGATACACTCATCTGCTCCCAGTCCAGACGTTTAGAACGATAGGCGGAACATTTCAGAGAACAGTTCAACTGGCCTTCAGCTACTCTACAACTACCCTCCATTCCCAGACAGTGTGAATGGGACAATCACTTATCGTCCCAATATATAAGAGGGGGTTAAAATCATCCTGTGACAACCATAGAGGGATTAGTTTGACTAATATGGTATCTAAAATACTAGCCTCGATAATTATCAGACGCCTAACTAAGACTCGTGAACTGCAAACACGAGAAAATCAGGCTGGCTTCAGACTTAATTTTGGCTGCATCAACCACATATTCACCATTCGTCAGGTTCTAGAACACAGGCATAATTATCGGCGTCCGACAATGGTGATCTTTCTTGACTTAAAAGCAGCATTTGACTCGGTAGACCGCGAGATTCTGTGGCAGTGTCTGTCATTGAAAGGAGTACCTCAGAAGTACATAAACCTTGTGAAGGCTCTTTACTCGAACACTACTAGTCGAGTCAGAGCTTATGGCGAACTGTCATCTGCTTTTGCAACCTCAAGTGGTGTCCGTCAAGGCTGTTCACTTTCTCCATTTCTGTTTAACTTCATCATAGACCTACTGATGGAAATAACATTCTAGTCGACTGAATTCTCGGGTATTGATCTATCAGGAGGTCCACTTATCGACTTAGAATACGCAGATGACATAGTCCTGTTTGGTGAAGACTGATAGAATGCAGAGTCTTTTGGTAACACTAAGCAACAATGCCAGAATGTTTGGAGTGCGCTTCTCTCCCTCTAAATGCAAGTTGTTGCTTCAGGACTGGTCTGCGTCAACACCTGAACTAAGGATAGGGAGTGAAGTAGTCGAACGCGTTGACAACTTCACTTATCTTGGAAGTCTGATCAGCCCTAATGGGTTGGTGTCTGACGAAATCTCAATACGGATTCGAAAAGCGCGTTTGGCATTTACCAACTTACGTCACCTATGGCGAAGATTAGATATCCTCTATCAACTAAGGGACGAGTATACTGCGCGGCATTCCATTCTGTTTCAATTTACGGCAGCGAAACATGGTCATTAAGAGTAGAAGACACTCGTAAGCTACTAGTATTTGACCACAGATGCCTTAGAAATATTGCTGTCGTCCGCTGGGATCATCGGGTAAGTAATAATGAGGTTAGACGCAGGGTATTGGGAAATAATGGTAAATCAGTTGATGAGGTTTTTAATCTTCACCAACCTAGATGGTTGGCCACGTGTTACGTATGCCTGAACACCGATTACCACGACGTGCAATGCTAACCGGTGTTCGGGATTGTTGGAAGAAAGTTAGGAGCGGCCAAACCAAAACGTGGCATCAGTGCTTGAAGTCACCAACTTGTAGTTTGAGCCATGTTGGTAGATGCAGACTACTTGGTTGGGGTCCGCGTGACTATCGTAACCAATGGTTGGAGACTCTTGGTGACATGGCTCAGAATCGATCACAATGGCGTCGGTGTATACACTCTCTGTCTTTCCTTAAACTAAGAGATTAAAATCGCTTCATATCTTTCTTTCTACGAACTAATTCTTTCTTCGAGTACTATGTCCTTATTACAATCTTTCTTTTATATATTGCCACCTCTGAATTAACTACTTTTATGAATCCGGTGTCCATCTCGTTATGTTAATGAGGTATGGCAACTTGGACTGGTGCATATATGTGCCTGGTCCTACGTTGTAGCTGACTGACTGATTTTATATCTACACATGTTTTAAGTCACTAGTTGTTTACCTCAACTTACCGTGTTTGTTGAACCAGGAATATATAACGGATAAAGCTCTAAAGTGATGAGTTCAAAATTTTGTGCTTATATGTAGGACCAGTAGCTACACAAAGTTCCAAAATCAAGTCAAGGCTGTTGAAAATCACTACTTACTATCCATATACAACATAGTTCACAACAAGGGAAATTTACCTATTTTATTTAATAGATCTGTACATTATTTATGTTTTTAGGCTGTATAAATTCTAGTTCAGATAAGCTAATAAATTCACTATTTGTATGTTACTCATTTTTGGCGACTACTCACATCGATTTACTGCAGAAATAAGCTGGGAAAAAGTGACTGTGACCTGTGGTTGGAAATTGAGGTGTATAACTCAAGAATTACTCGTTTCATTATGAATGAAATTATCCTTCATCTTAGAAATTTCAGTAATCTGTGCTTTCTATTCTGTTTGCACTTCTAATTGCTTTTAGTGTTGCTGTTTCCATTACTGTAATTTTCTTCGTGTTTGTTTCCTCTTGTAGTGCTGATGTAGGTCTTCGCAAATTTGATGGACACAGTTGCGCTAGGTCCAGTAGTTTGAGTGGTTTATTTACTCAAGTTGGGAACTCGAGTTTGCGCCATGGTTCATTCTGTTTTATCAACTTACGACTGACAATAAGACTAAGACGAATAAATGCTGAGTAAAGTTACTGACCGCTTTTACGAGCGGTGCGAGTTGTATGAGTATTAAAATCAGAACATTACATTGATGACCAACAGACAACTATTTGTGTTCACCATAGTTTTCTATGTTTTCGTTTTTTAGCAATTCAGTAATTATTCGTACTGATAATGTATCTATGCATTCGTCTCTCTCATAGAGATCCATTTAACACTCCGACTACATTGTAAAAATAATTCAGACCTTTTTTAAAAAGTGAGATACACTACTGTCTGAGATATTCATTCGTACTTTTGTGCAATAACCAAATTAGTAACACACTTCAGCAGTATTTATTAAAATTTGATCTTTGTTTTCCCATAATCTGGTTTTTAAATGATACCACTTTTGTTAGTCGGAAGGTTAAATTTACTTTTAAACGGAAAACAACTGAGTGTACATTTGGTGTGGAGAAAACTATTGGACTAATAACAATCTTGTAATCTGAATTTATGAGTTTATAGGTGTGGTACAGGAACGAAAGGATATACACTTTAAAATTATATAGCCCACCTGAGAAATAACTGATCATTTAAAATCGCACCAACAAATACTTAGAGATTCATTTAATTAATCGGAAGCATGAATAAAGTTAATCAAATGGTTATTGGTAAAATAATTGGAGTATTTCACAAAGTATGTGAGTAAAGAATAAAGTAAATGATGTTGATAGTCTCTAAAATGACAAAAAATAAGTGTTTATGTAGTTATTCAATCACAACATTTGAATGGAAATTATAAAATAGACAAAAAAAGTTAAAATTACAATCATTTCCTCTGGTATAAAGGTAGCCTTATATGATGGATTCTCTATAATTTCTACAATTTAAAAGTTACAATACATGCTCATGTGATTAATTTGTAAATGCTTTTTCTGCTCTGGAGAAAAATGTATAATAAAAGGAAGATAGAGAAATGAGTGCAATATTATTGTTGTCTTTATGGTTGTTACTTTTATCTGACTTACAATAAGGTAAACGAATAACATAAGAAATATATATATATATATATATATATATATATATATATATATATATATATATATATATATATATATATATATATATATATCGGTTCTTATTCATCACTATTTTGAAATAGTTCTTCTTGCATTAATTTCTCATCAACTTTTCGCGAATACACCACCGGTCCCATTCAAATTTGATTTCTATTGTCATAAAAAGAAAGAATCTAATAAATTAAGGAGTTAAACTAGTTTCGATTATGTAATATTCTATATTTTGGAAATCTTGAGTGACACAACTTAGATACATTCACTCTTAGTTTTTTAAAAATTGTCTTATACATTTTCTATTCCATTTATTCATTCTTTCATCTAGAATTGTGTCGTCTATACCTAAACTTTTCCACTACTAGTAGTTGAATGCATTTCCGTATTACTGTCCAATATATTTTAATTATTAATTCGTCCTTTCAAGCTTAGCGCAGTTTTCAAAAGCATATTTTCAACTACTATATGAGGAAGTCCAACGCACTTGTCTTTTACAATTCAGTATCATTCGGATGATCACTTACAGGCATTTGAAACGTTATACCTCCAAACACGATTTATTAGGAAGAAATACAACGTAAGATCATACATTGGTGTAGTGTGTTCTTCGTTCATTTGATTTGCAGTCAAATTTCCATTGTATTAATTAATTCAGTGTACTTTGTTTAGTATAACATCCAACTGTATCAGTTCTATGTAACAATCTCTTTTCATATGATGTGCATAAATGAATGAATTCGAATGGCTAATAATCTCTAACCATTGACAATAAATATTTTAGAATATCCAGGGCTAGTAATAAAAGAGGAGAGCTGTAGTATCCTAATGTCGAAGCATAGGATTTATCGCCGTTAGTATGAAACATATCAATAACTTAACAATGCAAGGTTATACAGTTAAACATTCTAAATAACTATAGTGTTCAGCCTTATTACTAAGAAATATTAATATTGCTGTAAGTGTTAAGTGACATGCATGTGTGAAAAATATAACTTACTACACCCTGATTACTATCATCCGACAGTTTTCTCTTCATTTCTACGGGATTTTTATGCCCCGTTTTGGGCATGAAATTTGGTGCGGCACTCATCGCGCGTAATCTATCCGTTGACATTGGTTTAGCAACTTTACGAAGAATTGGTTTTTGACTTGATGCATTAAATAGAAATTTATTATTTAGTAAATTAGTGAGAAGAAATAGAAATAAGAGAGGAAAATAATAGCTAGCTACTAATTTGTACTGAAAACGGTAATTGATGAGAACAAATAAATAAAATTACGTGTTACTGTGTAGCAAGATAACCTGATTTATTAAGTAAGCATTGAAAATTTATTTATGCTGGAAGACCAAAGTTTAGTGCGCTGTACCTATGGTTTACGTTTTAAGCCTTTACTGATATACTTTTAAAAAGACTAATGAATTATCCAGCTGATATCAGTTCTTGATAATTATTGTCTTCAAACTATACAAAATCTTTACAAATCTAACTGAATTATTTTTAATCTTGTACTTACTACCAACTAGCATCATGGAACGTTTAAAGTTTTAGTAAAAACACCTAGTCTGTAGAGTCATCAACGAAGTTGGAGAATAATAGGGTTCAATAAGGATATTAGTATATCACAAATTGATTGAAATTAGCAATGTAGACCGTTGGTTACCGGTTTATTAGTTCTTGAGTCATTCTTTTCTCTATAAAATCCCCCAAAATAGCTCGCTGTTATTTTTCCTTAGTAAGTACATGATGCGATAAAAACTACGGAGTTCTTCAGTAGCTTGTGGTTCTCAGTGGTCCTCCAACTAATTTCAGTTTTCAGTAGTGACTATCTCCGAGTACTAGTGTTGTTAATGAAGCACAATTAATATTATCCGGTTCGGAATACACTTAATGTTAACATAGATCCTAAAGTCACTGCTGGTCCCAAACCTGGATAAAGGAGAAGGGTCGGGCATAGGGTTAACAAACCCATCCCATAGAAAAAAAACGCTATCCAGAATAAATGATTTAAATTCTGCTGTGAGAGTTAAAGGATCTTCATTTAGAAGAATTATGATGCCTTATGGTGGATACTGAGGTTCTTTGGAAGCCACAAGGCCTATGCTCTTTCTAACAACCAGAGCAACAATTAACATAGGTACATGAAATATCCGGATAATGTGGTAGACCGGGAGGACCAGTCGAATAGCTATGGTAATGAGAAGATACAACTTGGTGGTTATCAGAACACGTGAAACACATTAAATCCAAGCTGGACAGAAAAAATTAGCATCGGAGGAGTTGGCGTTGCACTCTGCTCATGACAAATGCTTCATACACAGAAGGAGTTGCACTGGTGCTTCTCCAAAAAAGCACTTATAGGATGGGAACCTCATGCATCCAGGATCATCAAAGCATCCTTCAAAACAAAGGAGGGAATCACAATAAACTTGTCTATTGCCGCTCACCCACCAGCGATGGCGATGAAGATAAAGACCAGTTTTACGAGAGGCTGCAATCGACCTTAGTGAAGCGCCCACGAAAGGATGTGACCATCCTGATGGGAAACTTATATGCCAAGGTCCGAATATGAAGATATCATGGGACGATATGAACTGACTGGGAGAAAGAAACGAGAATGATGACATATTTGCAAATTTATATGCATTCAACAAAATGGTTATAGGTAGCACTATATTCTCCACTGTGGTGTGAGCTACTTATATAAGTAGTATATAACGTGCGTTAAAAGAACGTAATGTCCGGCAGCAGAAGATGGCGAAGATCAAGAAAGGAAGAGCAAGAGCACAATGGAATTGTAAGAAAACGCATGTACAATGGAATGGGAGACAATGGATTAGTGTTTGCAGTTTGATATGATGGAATGATATTTTGCAAATTGACGATTGACTTTATGGTATTCACATTTTATTGAGATAGTCGGTAATTTTTGTGCTAGATACAAACGATTGTCCCCACCCGTGTTCTTGTTCACTACACACCTAACGCAACCACATAGCTACATGGTTTTCACCGAACCACACTACAGAAAACCAGATCGTTCATGTTTGCATCAGTAAAAAATTCAGGTCAGTGGAAGACGTGAGAACTAGGAGAAGAGGTGACATAGATTCAGATAGCCTCCTGGTGGTTGCCAAGACGAAAGTAAAGCTAAAAAAGCACTGGACAACTGGAGAAACATGATAAAAACAGTTTGATGCAGCCTTCGTTAAAAATACTGACAAACTCAACGAATTCAAGATAGCTTTGAATAGCAGGTTCTAAGCCTTACAAGATCTACTCAAAGTAGAGGAAATTACTATAGAAAACAACCGGAAAGAGATCAAAGAAGTACTAACTTCAACGTGTCAGGAAGCTCTGGGCCTTAAGAAGCATCATCAAGAGGAACAAATCTTTATCGAGACCCTAGATAAAATTCAAGAAAGGAAGAACAATAAGACAGAAATTAACAACAGTCGAACAAGAGCAGAGAAAGCCAAGGAAAGACCGAACACAGAGATACAAGCCGACATGCAGAAATGCTTAGAAGATCTAACAATGACGGCGGAAAAAAAACTGCAAGAGAAGGAAATGTGGAGCAGCTACATGATACTACGAATAAACTAGAAAGGAAATATGGTAAACCAGAGCAACTAGTTGAGAGAAAACAAGGCGATTCAATCACTGGGATTCATGAACAGCGGAAAAGGTGTGTAGAGCACTATGAAGAACATTTGAATAAACAAACCCAACTGAACATACCGGACATCGATGCAGCACGCACAAACCTCCCTATGAATGTCGCTTTACCAACGATAAAAAAATTAGCATGGCCATCAGACGAGTCAAGAGTGGGAAAGCAGCAGGACCTAATAACATAGTCGGAGCACTGAAGTCAGATATAGAAGAAACTGCAAACATGCTCCAAATTTTATTTAGGAAGATTTGTGGAGAAGAACAAGTGCCGATAGGATGGAAAGAAGAATATATCACTAAGATACCAAAGAAAAGAGATATGAGCGAATGTGAAAACTACAGAGGCAACACACTACTATCAGTGCTAGGAAAATTTTTCAACAGAGTGTTACCGAACCCGATGAAAGATTCAGTAGCTTCGAGATCAACAGTCCGGATTCCGTAAGGATCGGCCGTGTACTGACAAAATCATGACACTACGGATCATTGTTAGACAATCAATTGGATGGAACTGGTCATTATACACCAAACTCCTTGCCTGTGAGATGGAGTTCGACAGCGTGGATTGGAGAACCTTACTGAAGCTTCGAAACCACGGTGTATCTGAGATGATCGTCAACATCTCTCGGAGTTCATACAACGGACTACAGTGCAAAGTTGTGCATTGAGGCAGATGCATTTCAAGTGAGGACTGGAGTCAGATAAGTTTGTTCACCCTCGCTGTTTGTCTTTTTTCTGGTGATCAATTGGATCATGAAGACCTCGGCATTTCAGGAAAATCACCGGACAGCTTGGATGCAGCTAGACGATTCGGACTTTGCAGATAACGTAGCTCTTTTGTCCTATACATAGCAACAAATGCAAATGGAGATAGACAGTGTAGCTGCAGTAGGCCTCAACATACACAAGGGAAAAAATGAGATCCTCACATACAACAGGAAGAACACCAACCCAATCACACTTGATGTAGAAACTATGGAAGAGGTGGAAAGTTCCACGTATCTGAGTGGCATCAATGAACGTGGAGGATCCGATGCAGACGTAAAGGAGAGAATTGGCATTGCAAAGACAGCGTTTCTACAGTTGAAGAAGAAACAGAACTCAAAACAACTATCGACTGATATCTAAGTGGGAATCTTCAATACTATTATCGAAAAGGTAAAAGTATTTACAAACAATTGTCTACGTAAGATACTGAATGTCCATTGGCTGGATACCATCAGCAACAGCCTACTATGGAAGATAAAAAACTATCTTTCAGCTAAGGAGGTAACTAAGAAAAGACGATGGAAGTGGATAGGACGTGCACTGCCGAAATCATCCGACTGCATCATGATGCAAACGCTAAATTGGAATCCCGAAGGGAAACGAAAAAGAGGAAGATCAAGGAATACACTGCGTTGGAATTGGAAGCAGACATCAAAAGAATAAATAGCAACTGAAAAGAATTGCCGAGGACGATTGAATGGAGAATGCTGGTGGGTGGTCTGTGCTCCTCCACGAGAAGTAACGGGCATAAATAAGTAAGTTATTCTAATTTTCATTTCCTGGTAGGTATGGACAAATTAAGAGGCATATTTTTGGAGTCTTAACCTGTTCATCCAATAACTTTATTTGATGTTCTGACGATAATTTTGATTCAATCACAGGATATTTATAGTTTGGTTCCAAATATCTGCACTTTAATGTAATCAATCGTGTTTTCAATATGTACTAGGTAGTAATAAATTCTTATTTACTCAAATTGTAATTCAGCAACTTTCCTGGAAATTTACCTGATACTCTGTATATTTGGAAATTATTATTAACCAAATATTTACTTACAAGTGTCCTTTAATTGAGCATAACTGAGCTGTCAGTTCGTTAATCTGCATAAATAAGGAAAAGAAAAGCCATTTGAGTAACTTGATTTCTTGATTTTATACACTAATTTATATGAGGAATCATTATAACGTTTTTAAGTAATGCTGAATTTTTAGGTTCATTCAAAAAGTGATTTTCTCAAAAATAGGTATGAAAATCATAATAATTTATAGTACTACACTCTTGTGATGTAGGTATTATCAATTCAACTATGACTGAGCATAATGCAACTCATTCTGCTTTTCCATTAAAATTATCCGATTTAAATGAGCTTTCCACTCAGTCGATAAACACTCTTATTCATTGTAATTTAGATATAAACAACAATTTTTGAAAATCCCATTCCATTTGAACTGGAAGCTTTCAAAGAGCATACTTTCTCGTACTGAAACGTTCTTATGAAAATGTGATTAACTGTTTTAGAATCAATCGATAAAATCTGTAGAATATGTTACTTTTTTTCTACTCTGTCATTTTAATATGACTACAGCATCTCGTTATTATCATTCCCATCAAGTTAGTCTGTACCGATTGGAGCATAACTGTCTTCATAGAAATATTTTTCAAGACGTAAAATTTCTTTTTGGTTTAAATGATTATAAATTCATCAGATCTCGTGTAGAATATTTAATGAATATGGATTTAAGTATATGATCAATCCATTTTTTAAACGTGCCATTTGCTTTATAGGTATGGATATGAATCCCTCTCATGATTATTCAAAGACTATTAGTCTGCAAAGTCATCAACGAGTATTTTTCCGCCTCTCAGTATATCTTTCTTAAAATCTACGTTAGATACTTGGGACCACTCATTGGTAAGTTGTGGACACAGTTTTCACACAGTTTCTATTCGTCAGTAAATTCATCGAAGGATTCGATAATATAGCGGATGATGTCAAATCACAATGGAAGGTATCCACAAAATGCTCTGGTTTGCATGATCTTGATCTCCCTTGGAAAAGTTAAACCGCTCACTTTGATATACATACATATATAATATACTTTTGAAAAAGACTTAAAATCCCATCCATTGACTTACTTCTTCATCCTGTTTGCGTAATCTTTGTTCCCATTCGTACTTTTGTGATTCCAATTGTTTAACGTGTTCGTACCACGACTTCACCTTTTGTTCAAGTTGCACTTAATGTGAAAAAATATATTCACATATTCAGTTGTACGTTGGTGAATTCAGTAGAAGAGACATTTAAGTGGATTATTATATGTTTTAGTTCACTAAATTTCTGATAAAATAAGATCGTGGTAACTTTGGTAAGCTTTTATTGAAAGTTAATATCGTCTAGATAACCACTGGATAACTTGAAAGCTTCTTAGTCGGACGTGGTTCATAAGGAATTTACAACTCAAAAGTCTTTTAAGCTTCAAATATAACTCTGTGGAGAATAGTTTATGCAAGATGGAGCCTACATATGTAAAATCTTTTGACTTAGGAAGCAATCCATTTCCATGTTTGTCTAATCAACGTTAGCGAACACTTTGAACAGAAACCCTAATAGAAATTCAACTATATGGAGTGTGAGAAAGATACTCACTCAAGACAATGGAAGCTAGTTGCACAATATCGCGAATTAGTTGACAACTAAGCTTTTACACCACTGGACCTCGGCTCAATGGTCTAGAGGTCCTGTGTTTAGTCTCTATAGATGGGGTCATGTGTTTGCGTTTCTTGGTAGTCATATACTGGAACGAAACAGCTATTCAGTGCCTCCAGATCACCAATGGTGATAAAACTTAGTTTAATTCTGCATCTCAATAATATGTAAAGGCCTACATAATCCCATACTGATAGCACAAATATAAATCTATACGGGCCATTGCCTTTTATATCACCACTACAAGAAGTGAAATTAGAGGAACGTATAAGTGTGCAAACAACAACAATAAAAGTGATCAGGAAATAAGGAGAAAAAGTGAAAAGCAGACAATGATAAAAGGAGTCATTAAGGATGATTTCATCTATGATACTGAAAGTAATTCTTGAGTTATGTAGGAATTTTAATCCTCAGATCACATTTACTTTGATAATTTGAATTGGGAAACTTAAATTTTTCCTCATGGTTGATACCAATCAGGAACATAACTAATCGATTCCGTATCTTACGCTGCTCACGTGTAGTTTTTCTCCAACCTTTTTAATAAAAATTTAACTTTTAGAACTAGGGTGGTGAGTGAATGAGGATATTTAACGCATGTCAGTCGATGTAATCCACAACCTCATCAGTCTTTTAGGCACTTCCACACTGTTCTACACCTGATATTATTGCTATCACTCGCTTGGATTTGTGATTTGATAAATATTGCAAATACACGTTCAGTAACTATGGGTTCTCCGACAGAAGTTGATAGCATTAGTACATGATATGTTCTCTTTCAGAGTTTCCTATTCTGGATAAATCAACTTCCTTGTATAGTTTTAAGTAGAAATCTAAATTAGTACTCTCTATGTCACACTTCAGATAATTATTAGATGGACTAGTAATTTACGTTCTCTGCTTTCTGTATCATTAGAGCTCCGATTTTTCCATTCGTTACTTAGAGATTTGGTGTGATTCGATCGTCATGGTATACTGAAAGGAGTTAACAGCTTTTTCAGTCATTCATTAACTACCTTACAAAATAAGAAATTACATTTTGTATCTGTTATTTTGTTTAAGCCCTCTTTTAACACTACAATTATTGCTTTATCTTATAATTTTTTAACTAAAAAATTTAAAACGATTTGACGATGACGCTCAGGAGCTGAGTCGAAATTTAAACTTCATCAACAATCAAGGCTTGTGGTCTATACATTAGACGAGACTGATTAGTAACTCACAAACCCCTTTCCAAATTCAACCAACATCTTCATCTTAATCAAACTTAATTTCTGAAGTCTAATTATAACTTTCATTTTGTTCAAATTAAAGTAATCATATTTCTGACTACATTAAATAACCGTAATGTTACTTGAAAAACTTTCTCACTCTGATTTAAACCATCAATGTCGAATGGAGGAGCTTGTCTCTTGATGTGATCTTCACGGTTACGAAGTTCTTTTCTTCTTTCTTCAAGAAGTTCATCTTTTGCCTTTTGCAAGATCATTTCCTTAAAAATAAACAAAAAATTATTTAAAACTAAGAGATTTGAACGGCGAAAACTTTCTTTTCAATGAAATTATTTACTTAAGCAATACATTTCACTGAATTTTCTCTATATTTATTCAGTGGCAAAAGTATAGTCAATTGGGATAACCATTAATAAAGCATATGTATTTTTGATAAGTAATGTGTTTCAACTATTTTATACTATCTATACATTTCCTCAGTTTATATTTCATTACAATTTCCAGATTATCTCTTTTTTTATCTAATAAACAGAAAACTATGGAAAACAAATTTCTCTATTGCAAATCTGAATTGGGTAGTTGCTTAAATCTCCAAAATGTAAAGATTATATTATTAAATTATTCGGATGAACCTGAAATATTGTTGTTAAGTTAAATAAATAAATAAGTAATTTTACTCTTTTAAAGTGATTTCATAAACCCATATGGTAAAAATAATAACATCAAGATTTGGAAATAGGATTCTTTGTAACAGAAGAGGAACATGAAAAGAGAAATAAAAACAAAATCAGTCTAAGTAGCAACAGGAACTTATGAACCATGGAGTTTGTAAGCGGCAATTCATTGAAGATGTGCAAATGGTGTATTGAATGTATTGTTTTCATATTTTACAAATATAGTGTGTACTCTTGCTTAATAAACCAAATTGGTTTATTCTACCTATGTCTTCGTTCATTACATTGAAATTAATTCCTGATACGAATTCTCGTGATGACATTTTGTTTTGAACTTATTCTTTTGACTATCTCAAAAATGCTATTTTCACTTTCTCAAAGACATATAGCTACATTCAAATCTATTACAAACTGTTGGGGTGACCCAGAAATTGCTTGTAAAAGACAAGCAAGCATCAAGAAACACTAAGAAGTGTTTCGTCCAATCAGCGTTCACTTGGAGTCTTGGCCAGAAATATCAAGGTAGCGAAACGTCACATGCGGGAGCTCTGATTGGTTGGCTACTACAGTGCTACTATGTTTAGTAACCTTTCAGAATATTCCAGCGACCCAAGGACACTTAAAATATTATAAAAACCCTATATTTTCTGTAATAGAATGAACCTCGGGGTGAAGTATTTTCCCTGATACTTGGGTCTTCTCTCTGGTGTTCAAGTCGTTGTGTAGTTCTTGCTTGCGGGTTACCAGGATAACTTAGGAAACTAATATAGCGTTCAATCGATAAGACTTATCACAAAATTTGTCGTTGATTGAAGTCTATTGTAATTTAATGTGGAAATGATCCTAGTATATATAGTCTCATTTATTTTGTATATGAATATCAGCTACTTCTAATTTGTGTAAGTAGTTCGAAATTTATTACTATTTTATATTGCTTCATTTTCCAGGTAAAAATAAGCGTTGAAACGATTTTTATACATCCATAATAGTAATTTTCTTTAAACTAATTTAACAAAACTTCTTTTGATTAACTAACCTTCAATTTTTTTCTACGCTCTTTGCTTAAACCTCCAAGACCTTGTTTGTGATAATCCATTCGTCTTACTTGATTGTTTTTACTGGACTCTTGTTCTTCAGCAACTTTTGACTTGAATCATTGAAAAAAAGGAAACGATTAAAATCACTTATCTCCTTATCATATTTTTATCGTACAGAATTTATATTGTACAGTGTGTAGATTCTTAAATGTAGCGAGAAGTAAAAAATCCTGTTTTTTGATTTGGAAAATAATGGAGCTGAAAAATTGAACCACAATTTTAAGTAATGTCAAGTTTTTTTCCTCCAATAGAATTCGATACTGGTAACTATGATATGTATTCTTTCCACATTATCTTTTCAATAACCATGGAAAGATGATCTTTATATTGTTAATTTTTCTTTTTGAAATAAACCTAGTTTATTCTCGTTTATAAATATCACTGTGCTAAATATTTTAATAATAAAAACAATGATCTATTTGTGATATTCTAATGAAAGGAAATTAAGAGTTCTAACTTGTAACGACATACTTTAAGTCTCTTTTTTTCCTAGTTTAAAATAATTATAGGTTACTCTTTGAATAATTGACTCACGTCATAGAACATCAAACATCCTTATTTCTACACACTAGGACATCATCAATTTACCTAATACTTAACTTACTTAAAATCATCAAGTTAAATTTTGGTAAGAATAACAATTCGAATTCACTTGGCGTTGTTTTACTTCTATCTTCCCATTGTTATTTAGGACTCCAATTGATTAGTCTCATGTTAGCATATGTGTATCCCATGCGGATGCCTCGATAGAGCCTTAAGTCACAATTTTTTTAAGCAAAGGTGGATAGTGGCTAGTAATAGAATCCAGGACGCGCGTTTCGTCCCATTTGGGACTCGTCAGCTTGATGTACCTGTATCCCCGAGTTGATGTACACTGGCAATCAAACCCAAAAATTTTAGCTTCCAGCACCATCAAGTTATCCACTTAGCTACTGAGTCCTGATAGCCACCTGATCAATCGCAGTCCTAAATAACAATGGGAAGATACAAGTCAAACAACACCAAATGAATTGAAACTTCACCCCGTTGCACAAGCAGGTGGCTATCAGGACTCAGCAGCTAAGTGGATAACTTGATGGCATTTGAGGCGAACGGTACTGGGCTCGAGTCCCAGAGCAAATGTCAACTCTGCGATTCAGATACATCCAGCTGACGAGTCCCAAATTGGACGAAACACGCGTCCTGGATTCCACTGCTAACCACTATCCATCTTTGCTTATAATAATTCGATATTAGATTTTCCTTCTCATAACCTGTCAAATATTTATTAAATTATCTTATACAAAGTGTAAGTCATTTGTACACAGGTAAAATGAATAATTTATTTTAATGACATAAAAAATTTATAAAGGTGTTTATTATAATAAAACGGCAATAAAATTCCGAATTCAAACAAATCCCTTAAACATAATCCATATCTTGTGTATTATATAACTGGTACTAGTAATAAGTTATCCTTTTTTTAATGAAAAAAATTAAAGTAAATGATAATTCATACAGAAATTTCTAATCCTACATTCAATTGTGATAAAAGATCTGATTATATATTTCTGTATTTTATTTAACTGGAATGTAAAAATTGATCATTTCATAAAATCTGTATATAAAAGAGCTTAGAAAGTCGGAAATTAATTTCGACATTTTCAATGACATTCAAAAGTTATACAATACCAATGGATAGTAACCGATTTTAAAAATCTTTCTATTTAGCTGAAATATGTGTTGATTGATCACTAATAATTAAGGTATTCTTTGAAATTATCCATAAAATATTCATTTGATGTAATTCATGTATTAACTGATTAGATTTGAAAATCTATTCAGATGGTTATTATTGGTTTTTCTAGCTTTCTGTGTAATTTTCCTTTTCTTATCTTTGTAATACGACTTCACTGTGACATAATTAATTCTTTTGGATATAATCTTAATTCTTGAGACCCTTTCATCATTGTTTCCAAAGAGTAATGATCAAAGTGAAAGTGCTTAGTCTATTGTCTCCAATTATGTGATGCCAGTATCTACAGGTTTCTTTTTTGAATTAGCACATTTTTTATATTTACTCACTGGTAGTACGTTCGATTACCTTGTTGACAGAAGCATGCTTTTCTAAAATGTCTCATAATATATCATTTCCATTCAAAATTAGAAATGTGTTCTACTGACCAATTCCAGTAAATACAAAATCTAGTTTTCAATCGTTTTGCGTTGATCACTGTTACTGTCCAGTACATATCATTTTCGTCCTATTTCAGTTAGACTATCTAAACTGTATCAAAAGTATTTTTCTGAGAAAAATGCCGTTTAAAGTGGGTTACGTGAATGAATTTACACCTAATAATACGATTAACCTGTATACAGAACTGATCAAAAAATAATACGTTTATCAGAAACAAGTAGTTAACTGAATTCAAAGTCCCTTAGTAGGAAAATATATACTAATTGTAAAGATTGCTATCTCGTTATTATTAAAATATTAAATGAGAACTAATTTTAGAAAAGACATTCATTCAATACTCACATGTCTTTTGGACGCTCTGGCTTTTTTAACCTTTTAGAAAGGAAAAAAGAAAAAAACTAAATATTGTACAAATTAATGTTTTCCACTTAAAGGGAAAACAAAACAGGTCTATGTGTAAATTATCTGTCTACACTGTTATCAGTAGCACTTTATGAAAGATAACCATATTTTCATTGTCCTTCTTCAGTATCTGTGCTGTATGCAACTCACCTAACAAGTAAATGTATATACGCTCAGCTTCGAACCACACTATTATGGAAACTTATGGTGTCCAGCTTTCTAGGACGAGACAGATGATGGAGGATTTGAACCTTGAATCCACTGGTGGAAGACCGTCGTTCGTTATCTATACTGAAGATTATGATCATGCAAGATATGCATAAACAATGACTTTATAATTGAGTTATTCGTTCACTTAATTTGTATGCCTTTACTTAATAATCTAAATTTTAAATTCAAATTTACTCATTCACCACGTGCTTGGGTATGAACCACCTTTTAAATGTGATAACTAATGATACCGATTGGTTGCCCGAACCGGAGTTAGTGGAGTAAGGTTTGTACAAGTGACCTACTATTGGCTGAGAGCTGAACTTCTTAACCAGTAACCTGCCGCCCCATATTTAGGAATCTGACCCAGATATGTATATAATTACTAATAAATCTATAAGAATGATAAATGAATATATGAAAGGTCATGGCTATACTCATAATATAATCAACTAACATTGGACATTTGATATATTGTTCTACACACAATGTAATTATGACCGATAGCTCTGTGAAAGTGTCTCTATTAACATTTAGATAAATAAGTATGAAATTAGCCATGCTACTTCAAGTGAATGATTGTTTTATCACGTTGGATTCTGCCACTTAATCAGTTAGTAAGCAATAAATTTTACTTACACCAAGATCATGAATAAAACTTCGAGTACTTACAATGGTTTCCAAGATACATTTACAAAGGATAAAATATGGCTTTTTCAAAACATGAAATGAATTAGAAATAATTTCCATTGTGAAATGACGTCATTCTACGAACTATTAAATAATAAAAAGTGGCGGACTGTTGTTTGATCTTCGTTCCAGAGTCTTTGACAATAAACATCGACGAGCCAATGCAGGGCAATCTCCAAAGTTTTTAGATTGCGAGTCAGATATAGTAGAGTAACTTTACTGCTAATTTAGAATCCAGTAGTTATCAGTGTTTCCAACTAAAATCGATGTGCAATATGTCATGATCTTGATCCCGCTCTGCACTGTTTCATTAAGTAATGATGAAAGAATTATATACTTGTGTAAGCAATTGGTACACTGGTTCATCTTTCACTGATTATGAGAAATATAACATTGGTTTAATAATCATAATTTCTTATTCAATTAGAAAGCATAAGCAAATTGATGAGAAACAATACAACATATCTTGATTATAATTCGTCAAATGTGAAAATCAATAAAATGCATGCTCTTACCTCTTCACGTTCTAATCTTAGTTGTTCTTGATGTTTTTCCATTTCCTAGAGAAATTTCAACAATATTTTAAGAAATTAATATAAATAACAAAATATTAAAACAAATATCTATTCAATGTTACTGTTCATCACATGTATAATCTTAAAATGATTAAGATTTACACCTCACAATGAGCAGAACGTTTTAATTATATAACAAAACAACATTAAGAAAAATAGAAATCTATCGAGATTCTGATAAGGATTTTTTCGTTCATCACTCCAATCCAAGAGTACAGTCATTCACACGCATCACTACCATAGTTACAACATTATTAATTTTAATAGTTGAAATCATAAGTCAATTGAAGCTAGACCACCATAGAAAACTTGAAAGCACTGGACGATCGTTTCTTCCAAGTATTAGTTATAATAAAATACACCAACATTCATATGATAACATAACAAATACTAAAACAACACATGTTATTAACAATTAGAAAGTAACGAAACCACTATACCTTAAATTCATGAAGAAGTTAATAGACATTTTACACAAATTGATAGTGTTTTATTTTATTTTTCAAAGACACGGAAACTTTCCTCTTTAGAATATATAAAAACAATCTATTTTTTAAATTCAAAACAATGATATGTTATTTACATACTAAATAGTAAATGGTGCCAAATAAGAAAAAAAAGAGAAAGCAGTATAGAACGAATATTTTCAACTGTATTTGCATAAACAAATAACCGTTTTAAATGTCAGCTTATAGATTAGTAAACTAATAAAAGGAATAAATAGTTGGTTTTCTTCTTGTTTTTTTTCAATAAGATGATCGGACGTGGTGTTACATAGAAAAATCTGTAAGTAATGAATGATGTAAATACAAGAAAAATATCTGAAGATTTACGTTTAGAACTAAATCTTTTTAATGAAGAATAATGTACCAAAAACAGTAGATTATGACGAGGAACATTATCGGCTGGAGAATAATTGAAAAAGAAACACTGAATAACTGTTATGTATTAATATTTGACTGCATATTAATTAGCATCAACTACGGAGTTTTAGATTTCAGTCCAGGTATATTACTTTAAGGTTACTGAGGTGGAATCCATTACTGTTTATTTCAATGCTCAACCGAACGATACCTATTTGTCACATTCAGCAGATAACTGTCTCATTCCCAACTTGATTATATGTCACGTGTAATTTCTCATTGAACGTTCATGAGATAATTTCAAAGCATGTCACTACTGAGCACATTACTGACTTGATTAACTTGTGGAGGTGATTTCAATTTCAAGTTAGGTTTACGTTAGGGACTGATATCTCTAGCAGGGTCATGACAGTAGACGTTTAAGAAGCCTTAGACTATGATAAATTAACTGTACAGTACCTTTTTTACCAGTTTGCTAGTTGGCGCAGTTATGTGATATAAGATATCACCAAACTTAACTTATCTCCATAAACTATTAAACGAAGCAAATGGGTAAGAACTCGTATTCATATATATTCTTACCGAAACCTAACTATTCACAGTTATTATTAATAACCTGTCTTCCAATTAATTCAGTCAAACACAGTCATTGCTGCATAAAGGATTATATCAAGTTTAATTCTGACTGCTTATTGATTAGTAGTCGACTATACATCGATTCATTAGTGCCGATTAAATACTTTCAACTACAGTGGTCAATATACTAAGTGACTCGAGATTTTAGTAGATCATGGCCAAATGACGCATAGCGTCTTGCTAATCGCCTACAACTAACTAATATTTGAGATGGTGGAGAAGATTTGTAGCTCAGGTAGATGATTCTGATGGATTTTTGTTCTCTGAGCTGGATGGTTTGGCCTTGTAGCTTTCATTATTATGCTGAACGACATCATCACCTGAGGTTTGTGCTGATGCTGTTTTTCAGAATAACGATGAAAGCTCCACTACCAAACCATCCAGCTCAGAGGACAAAACTCAACCAAAATCACTACCCAACATTTAACATACCCACAAATCAGTTTTTACAGCAGAATTTGTTATATGTCTATAATGACAACATAATTTATTTATATTCATCATCGTCTTGCACCTATCTCGCTTTTTATTTTTCACTCGTTTCTCTTCAAATAATTTTGTGTGTAAAAAAAGTCTGAGTGGTGAATAAAAAACTGTATAAATTTCAGCAAAAAATCTTTAATTTTTTCACACTCAGATCAAGATGCATGACATTTTCTGAAGTTATTCCCTCTTAAACTTTTCAAATTTATTTTACAGAGAAAACAAAACAATGGTAGAACATATATGTTACACAGTGACATGAAGAAAAGGAAAGAAGAACAAATGAAAGTAGTGTTCGGAAAACACAAAACACTGTAAGTAGTCTTTGTTAAATATTATCAGCATACATAAACACCGATTGACAGAAAACATTACTACATTGTACGCTATTAATTGTATGTTTCTTTCGACTGCCATGATCGATCACAACGATTTAGTCAATTGTCTTATATATATCAACTAAATGCTAGTATTTCCATTACTGTCTGCATAATGATGACTTATTCAAATTCAGATGACACTGTGATAAAAGAAAAAGTATAATTCGGATGAAACACTCAGTATACTTTTCATACGCACCTAATCGATAATAAACGAACAATAGCTACAAATGTTTAAACAACTGTTTTGCCATTTACATTATCTCTAGACGCATGTATGTATAAATTTACAGATTGATTTCTTGATTTTGGTTTATATGTAATAAGATACTTTCTGATAAGGAATGAAAAGAACCATGTTTTACGATGAGAATTAATCATCTAATTAACCTATCTAATATTACAACTAATGATGAATGTAAAAGAACTAGATTGATAAGGAATAAAGCAATTATTAGTCATAATTAACAATAGTTATCTTCTGACAAGAGAATATATTTTGAAATATTATGGTTTAGAATAACTTTACTCAAGAACCAGCTAGTTATTGAATAATCTTCCAGAAAACGGCATAACATAACGCCACATGATGCCTAATTAGTCAATATTCTCTGACATTTCTGATAAACTGTAACAAAACTGTACCTGAATTGCCAGCTTCGTCATTAGTTAGTTTAGTCGAATCCTTATTGTTAATGTAACTATTTCGTGTTCGATTGACTTTTTCATGTTCTTACTATAAAAATCACTGAAAAATATTGTTTTACGACCCATGAGTCAATTATAAACGAAGTCTAACTTGGCATTAATAATAATTGAGGTTGGTAGGAGTTGTCATGATTCTAATCAAAACAGTAAGAGAAAAATGACAAGATGCAGAGCGTCAAATAATTGATATCAGTGGTAGTTACAAAATGAGACTTAGGGAATGTATTTTATTTATTTATTATTTATTTGAACACATAAATATTGGTACAAGAAGGAACCAGATACATATGCCCCACACAAGTCACTTGATTCGTGTGTTTACTGTGACACTGCCCCTGTGCCCAGACCGAAGCAGGTGGTTTTCTTAGGGGGCACACCCAAATCTTTCGACCTTAAGGTCTGATCTACAAGGAAGTGGAGCAACATCAGGAGATGCAGCTCATAAGAAAAGGATGAGATTAAAATAATAAAGTGTGCGGAGTAATACCAATCTTGAGACTTTGAAAACGGTGAAGAATGAACCTATCTTAGTAATCATTTATTGGGACTGTAATTTATGGGTGTCCTTTGAGCGACGCCAAATCGACCTTCGAAATCCCCACCTACTTGCTGGGGCTAAATGAGGGTTATAAACCTGTGTGAAGAGTAAAGATTATGATTTAAAATTGATGGTTAGGTTAAGGAATTAGATTTAGGGCTTTCATCATGAAATGATATCAGCTAAAATACTGAAACGCTATTTAGCTTAATGGATGAATGAATTTCGTGCTAAAATCGAAGACCTGTTATCCTGAATCTGGTTGGTTCGTCCATAAATTATAGTTCCGTCAATCCTCCGTCTGTTAGCAGTTAATGATTAACTGTAAGTTTGTCAATTGCATAGTTGACTAATAATACATTATCCTTTGTTCTCTGGATTGATTCTTACCTCTATAAAAGTGACTGAAATGTGCTTGAACTTGTAAGTATATCCCATTCCACGAGTAAGATTATAAGAACTTTGGATGTTTAAGATTTTTATTACTGAGCCTATTAAGTAAACCTCCCTACACTAACACCGTCCCTGGTAACTAACTAATCTGGATAATTTTTAACACAACACTTTATCACAAGATAACATGGCCTATGTATTATGATAGACTTGGCTGATCTAGCGTATTAATTATCACTTTTGTTGTTCTGTGCTCTCTGTTTCAGTTTTACTTTCCCTAGTTGTAGATGATTATAATCAGTTCGTCATAGCTCAGGAAATGACCTTAAATGCACGGTTCGTACATCAACAGGATATTATTATTATTATTAGAAACACTATCGTATACATTAACTTACCTCACGTTCTTTTTGACGAAGTCGCATTTGCTCTGCCTCAAACTAAAATATAAAAAAATGAATGTGTTTTTCAATAAATAGATAAGACTAAGAATTTTTTTAAAATTTGTGGAAAAGAATCTGAATATCATGAAATATTATGTCAGTATACTATTCAGTTAAGAGAGTACTTTATGTTGGAAGTCTCAACATAACTCACAGAGTAGTCTACATTAGTATAAGTTCTCATATATATAGCGGTTCTTCCACACAAGCGTCTGAAGTTGTTTTCTTGTTTAACTTAATACGAATTTAGTAATCAGTGCTTAAGAAAATAGAGCAACTAGTTGAAATATTCCAATATTTAACCAGGGGAAACGTTTAATGAAGGTGTTAAATCTTCCAATTTTTATGATACAGTTTTTGGAAAACCAGGATGTTGCGAATTGTCATCTATTAAGACTCATGCAGAATAAACAGTAAAGGTATGTTACAAACACTCGGTAAGTAGATATGAGAACATCTAAAACAATAACGATAAATTATTGTTTGCTAGCATTGAGTAGAAACGATTATGCAAAACATATCAAACGATTTTTTTCCATGTAGATTGTATACAACACTTGAATTACATTTATCCCTAAGTCCTAACCTTTATCTTATATCTCTAATCTCGAGCCTTTAATCTTAATCCTAGGTGCACAACCTCTAACTTTAAATCTCCAAGCATAGCCAGGAGCAGTATGTTTCCTCCTGAGAATCTATTCGATAAGACAGTTCATTCGTAATTTTGTAGACGAATTTATATGTCGTTTTTTCAATTCACAACCTGTAGAAGGATCGAAAAAATCAATTAATTCACTTTGTATTGTTTGCTTGTATCTTCCCATTCGAGTCCCAGGGTGAACACCAAATGTGGGGTGCAGGTACATTCAGCTGACGAGTCCAAAATAGGACGGAACGCGCGTCCCGGATTCTACTACTAGCCACTATCCATCTTTTCAGATTGATTGCTTTAACAAAGTCTGTTTACCTAGTTGTAACATTATTATTTACTTTCCACAAACTATTCATTTACAAAACTGCTCTTTAATTAGTTATAAACTGGATAAGATTCGTCATGATTATGCTACACGCCTATTGAATACTTTGTCTCAAATAACTGGCATTTCTCTTAGGAAACTAAATGTCGTAATCCAGTGTTCTCATTGTGTTTCTATTTAGTAGCACAAAGAACTATTTTTTCACAAAAATATTAGAAGTTACTAAATGCAGTAGGATTGTTTCACCATATTTAAGATTTTTTTTCTTCATTAAATTGAAAGTTTGAGTATGACCGTAAAGTCATAATTGTTTATTACTGTTGACACGAGCCAAAGATACAGTTTTTTATTAGATTGGAAGTATAACTTTATATTATTTATTATAGGAAATTTCAATTCCAATTTTCATATAAAATGAAAAAACTACTAATCTTTAGTCGAACAAGTAGCATTGGATATTGATAAGAAAGTCAAATAAATGATCTAATAACTCTATTCAACAAAATCTCTCGAAATAACTTACGCCTTTTTCTTCTTCTTTCAAACTTATATGACGATTAATAATCATGGGTTCTTGTTTCTAAATTAATCAAGGAAAGTAAGGTGAAATTAAGTATTATAAATTTAGACAGATTTCATCACAAAAAAGCTTAACAAAAGCCATGACTAAGATATACACGAGAATCAATTCTCAGTCATCTGTTAGTCACTAAATACCATCGGGATCATTATAAAACAGGAACCTAACTAATGGAAGGTTCATTGTAGACCACTTGAGAAAAAAATGGTAATACAAATAAATTGGCCGGTGTCCTATAGAGACTTCGTTGTCAACTGAAATCCATAAAGTACATCATGATGACTGAATAATCGAAATGTTACTATATGTATGTGAAAATTCCTGGACGTACTATACAATCACGCTAATCACTGATTGATTAGTTGGCTAGTGAATATAGTCTTCAGTGATGACTGACTTCTTTTAAGCAAACTTCATTTTGATCCATGTCCTAAGTAATTCTACATCATGATTCATTTAGTTAAATATAAGTTTAATGATGTGTTTGACAGTACTTATTTTCTTGGTACACTGAGTTCCGTTTATATAAATTACGATGATCAATATGAAAATAAAATATGATTTCGACAGAATTGTAACCATTAGTCACGTAGTTTTGAACCGACGGTTTTATTGAATTGAATGTAGAATGTGGTCTATGAAAACAGAAGACATGTGTAGGTTATTATTATTTGACTGTATGCATCTTACCACAATCTCTGCGCAAGTTGAGCACAACGAGTAAAAAATGTTGAATTTAAATCCAGGGCACAATGGAAAGTTATATCGGTTGATAAGATTGTGAGTCCCTACCTATTGAATGGGGTAGGACATGTCTTAAGTATGCCCAACAACTATCTAGCGTGCCGAACGATGATGGATAGCATGGGGGTATGTTGAAAGAAAGCCAGAAACGTTCAAATAAAACGTAGCATCAGTCCATGAAGTTACAGACACTTGGTTTGAGTCATGTTGGTAGATCTAGACTAACCGGTTGGGATCCTCACGATTATCATACCAATTGGTTCGAGACATCGCATTACGTCACAGAATAAATCACAGTGATGTAGATATACTCGTTCTTTGTCTCATTATAGATCCAGAGTCTCAAAATTATTTATTGCCTTTTATTATATAAATTCATTTTTCTCAAATCATATTCTGTATCCCTAACTTACTACTATTTCTACTACTTAGATATTAATTTTAATAATTTTATCTTCCTGTGCTGACATGACGTTGCACTTGGACTGATTCACATAAGTTCCAAGTTCAACGTTACTTATAGGTGACAAAGTTACTTATCCAGTAACGCATGAAGCCTAAATATAACAAATGTTTAAAAATGATCCTCAATCACCGAGACACGCTATTTGATTTTCCTTACCTAAATGATCTACACAAATTATTTTTTTTAAAATTCATAACTGCTCAGTCAAATCTTATCGTAGTTCATGTCGACTCAAAATTCGACAGAGATTAGCTAGTAGTATAGTGGATTTTTCTTAAGCTTCAAGTGATTTCCTGTAATTATTATTATTATGTAATTTAAATATATTTTAGATAGTTGAGATCATGAGTCAATTGCAGCTAGACCACTATGGAAAACCTGGAAGCACTGGACGGCCGTCTCATCCTATTGTGAGACTTCTTAGCTGTGGGCATCCACGATCCCGCCTCGCGAGATTCGAATCCAGGATCTATCAGTCTCTTGCGAGAGAATGAAATTACTACAATTTCCACAAAAACCCTTCTGATATTTTATATAGTAAGAAAATGCATTTTAAACCAATTTCCATTTTAAATAATTTATTATCAGATTATAGTAGTTATCAGAAAACTGATTATTCAGAACATTTGACCATTATTGTTCATCAAATGAAAATATATATATGCATATGGGGTAGTGGATCATAGTGTTGATGACAGTAATAGAAAATTAAAAAAAATGTTTGCACTATTATTAAGAGAGCTTGTTAAGAATTGTATGAATTTACGGAACATGGATTTAAAAAATAGTCTAACTGAATTGATAACAAAATAGTTATGTCATTAGTAAACTAAATAGATAATTAGCAAAACCGTTAATCTAATGTGAAGACAATAACATTAATGAGAATAGAAATGGAAATTAGATATACGCAAAAATGATTTATCCGATGTAATAATTATTGTTATAATCTAATGGTAAATGAAAGCCATGAAGAACTAGTAGACCTAATAAATGATTTCCGTATCCCCTAACTTGGATGGAAAATACTGGCCAGTATTGCTTTTACTGACTTTAACAAAAGGATATACTCAAACTTAACTATTTACTGACAACCTTCTTAGTCCACTAAATGAAAAAGCAAAGTATTTTAAATGGACTTAATTATTTCCAGTCATGGTAGAAAGTATTTGACAGGACAACTATAAATTGTCTAGGTCGTTTGTACAAAGAGTTGCTCCTATAATGACAGTTTAATTGGTAAATATATATGGAAGTGGTCTGATCTGGGAGTTCATCCTTTTCCTGTATTGACTACATACATCATTTGGTGTGTGTTTACTGTAAATTATTCCAAGCTTTCTATCATTTATTCGCTTTTCTTGGAATATAGTCAACATTTTATTTAATAGTGATCAATAATTTCCAAAAGTTACTTTTGTTGAAACAAACTTCAAAAATTCCTTCGAATGTTTATTTTTATTCATGTGGTTTAAAACGTCTCTTTTCGTTCACACAAGTAACTGTAAAAGCTAGTGAAAGACTAGTCAGCTATTTTCAAGTTATAACTTTTTGTTACGGACTAATTTAATATATAAAAATAACCAATGAAGTTAACTTACTACTTCTGGCTGCGAGAGATACATGTCCAATGAAGACATTCTTTGAAATATAAAAAAAGGGGAAAAAAATCAAAAATCAATATAGACCGATCAAAAACTAAAGTCAATAAAGCAAAGTTATAATATCAGGAACAAAAAAATGATCATGAGCAATGTGTAAATATTAAAATGATTTAAATAAATTCATTCTAACGGTGTCAATTTTTAAATATTTTCTGAGATTCTGCAATTTCATTCTTCAGGTGTCTTCAAATCAACTGGTTAAATAGATCCATTTTGAACATTTAATTTATATAAATCACTTAAAACTACGATCTTACATTGACTAAATAGTTTGTTTTCACATCAACCAACAGTGATCGATCTAATGCTTGATATCATCTTTCTATTTCGTTCAAACTTTGCAGATATTTGACGTAAAACATTTCCCTGTACATTGTTGCAAAAACCTACGTGAAGATTTTACAAAAGTACTATCTATACACTTGTTAGATAGTTAACAATAAAGGATACATTTAAGCCTTTTAACAGTAATGGTCAAACAAAAAGCATCAAATCCACTTTGTTTTACACGAGCCGTAGCCCTCAGATGTTTTTGTATACGGGAAAAATGTGGTAAATTTCTCTCTCTACCGTAATGACAGTAAATATTGTAAAAGAATGTTAAGCACTACAAAGTTCCAATGATTGGTGGATTCTTCAGCATTTACTCAGTGAATCAGTTCTATCCTAATGACTTTTTTCCTAAATGTAATCACTTATAACTACAGTACTAGTAAACATGAGCCTCATTGACTCTGTAAAACTAGACGTTTCAGATAAGTATTTAGACGCGGTGGCTTCTGTAAAACATGAAGAACCATCGTTTGATCGCGTACACGTTTATGGATATACACCATTGAGGTACCTGATTCTAGAATGAAATAAATGTCTAACAGCCCTTAATGGTTCTCAATCCCTTAAATTTAATCGGTCATTTATGAAAATTAGACAAAACATTGCAAATTTTCATAATCATGGCAGTAGCGAAACTGATTTTTGGTGAATATATAATCTTTAAAATCGAGTGTTGAATACTATATATCATACAATAATCTAAAGTAAATACAAACGATTTATAGATATCTTCGAAATATTAACTAGATAATACAAATGTTCGTTATTCATTTTACCTGCGTTGTTCTGTTTGGTCGTTTCCACTAAGAAATCGACGCGCGATAGCGGCTTCTTCTTCAGCTGTCATTACATCATCGTCATCATCATCACTGTTAACATCATTTTCACGTCCATCCATATTGTCACCGACTACTTGTAGTATCGGTATGGATGGTTTATTTTTTCGTCTGTCATCATTTCCATTGTCTTCAACCGAATTTACATGAATACTTGGTATAGGCATGTTTATTTGTTATCGTGTTTCTTTCTTCTTTTGATCAGAATGAGAATTAATTATGGTTATTCGCATAACAAAATATCTAAAATAAAAAACCAATCAAGATAACATTGAATTACGTAATTACATATATTATTTTACAGTCTGAATAAAACAATATTATTACTAAACAATGTCTAGCTTTGTTTTTTGTTGCCTGTACTGATTTTAATCTGTGCTTGAAAATCATGATAAAAAAGTACCATTGCGGTGTTTAAGTGACTTCAAAAATTGTCTGTTTCTTTAAAAGTACACAAAGTTTTTAATCATTTGGTTTCAGGTTAAAACTCTATTAAGTCAGCATTCATAAAAAGGATTATATTTGAAAGCAGACTAACCAAACGTGATCAATAAATTAGATTAATCGAAATTTAAAGAAATTTAATCACGGAATGTAAAATGATAGCTAGAAACTGAATCCAGATAATAAGCTCCGTTTCATTCATTACTAGTAATCAAGATGTATCAACGAACTATTATAGGCTTTTTCCCATAGACTTTAACTCAGTAGTGATTGTCACTTCAGATACCTAAACTCTGTTCAGTATTCTACTGAATGGTATTGGTTGTTTTCTGTTTCAATTAGTATCTTGAGTTTTTGTGCTTAACAGCATCTAAACTAAAACTGTGATATAATCCATACAATTCATAATGGTAATTTCTCATCTGATTTCTCAACACCAACTATTTACCTTGGATCTAAAAATAAATCAACATTTAATAATTGTTTTTGAAAATAAAAGACAAAGGTTTTTACTTTCTGAATATTTTTATTGAAATAGGTTTACGGTTGAAAATTATCCATGTCATAAAAACCGAATAGTTATTAGTTACCATCAGTTTGAAAGTTTTACCAGTATGCAAAGGTACGAACTAAGATTTCATGAGTAATAAGTTAGTATATTTGTCACTACATAAGATCACTTTGTTTAATCTTCCCTGTACTGTTGTATATGAAAATATGTTTCTTTTGATCTATTAAGGTATTCAATAAGAGTAAATATTCAAGTTACTTTCTTTACTATTTTTATACAAAATTTGAAAGTAAAAATAGTGAACACCAAGAATATGTTAAAAACAATATTTAGAAACACTGTTTTCGTACTTTTATTTTCCTAAAACAAAGTAAGTTACTTTTTACATGTTTATGTAGTTATTTAGAGATAAAACGTCATTAAACATAATTTACTCCAATCAGTCTTGAAATAAAAACAAATTTGTTTTTGTAAGAAACAGTTAGTAAACAAAAAGCACACATTATGACAAATGTCAACTAGTCAAAATCACCTGTATATTATGGAAAAGATTAAATGAAATGAGGTAGGGAAAAAGAAAACTTTCTTTAACAAGAAGAAAAACAAATAGTTTCATCATCTGAACAATTAATCAGATTATTATTATTATTATTATTATTATTATTATTATTGAAATCAGTTAGTTAGAATCTAAGATACATTTTATTGTCACTACTGTTAATATTGCAGTTGATGACAACGACGACGACGATGATGATGATGATGATGATGGCGGTGGTGATGATGATGGTGTTGACGACTATAATAGTCTAAACATTGAAAAGCTAATTATTTACGTTAGTTTTTAGTCGATTTGTATCCAGTGTAAAAGCATCAGCATTCGTTTATGAAGAAATTTTCTGCACTTATGGACATACAGATGTAATTTTTGAATTTTCACGTTATATTTATTAACATCTTGTTAAATATTCTAACTCAAAATCCTCAAACTTATTATTGGTAAAGTGTGATATTAGAACCTTTATTTAAATATCTTAGATTCTATAAGTGATGAGTTTATATGTGAACATGGTTGACTCAGCAGTTAAAATAGCTATTCGATGTTGCCTGGATTTGATTAATTGTCAAGTAAAAATTCATTCAGATGGATTCTGGAATCGTTAAATTTATTCGGAAATTTATTGCCTGACATTTTAAATTAATAAAACATTTATATAATACTTTGATATCATTGTTTTGTTAATTAATTCAGTAGTAAATTTTGTTCTTTCCAACGATAGTAATAAGTAACTTCAAAATATTTATTATACAACCAGGTTGTAATATAAAAACTGGTATGATCTAATCATGATTTCTATTAGTTAAATATAATGAGAGGATGAAAACAGACGAAAATGATTTTGTTATTGTATGAGGTTCACTCCATATTTTTTAACTTGAAATAAACACAGTGACTACCGGACAATGTTATATTCTTTGGAAAGCAAGACGTATAATAAATTATTCACCTGTGGGGTCACGATTGTGTACTCCTGAAGAATCATAAACCAGAAAGTAGGTAACTGGTGAACTAAATTTACTCAATAATGATGTTTTTCCTAATGCTAATCACTAATAAAATCTATTTTCAAAACATTTTTGTCAAGACAAAGAGAGAAATGTTTTGTAATTTAGTATTAATGTTTCACTATACTGAACTTTCTAGCTACTGATGTTTCACCATTTGGATATATTCCATAGGTGTAACTAACTTCTTACTAAAAAAGACAAGTTTACCATTCAGTATCCAAATTCTATCGGAAGTACGTATTAATTACATATGTAGTTAGTTTCTTGTACATTTTTCTTTGTATTGAATTCCTTAGCTGACATTTTAACTTCTTTTGTTGATTATAATGATGTGAGGGCATTACTCAATAAGATAAATTATTGTTATTGTACACCTCAGTATTCGTATTAGTAAAGTGAGACTAATTTTATAGATAAAACTCTATTCAAGTTGTAGTTACCCCTTTACAAGTATCTTCATCAACAACAAAAAAACAATACTGATCAGCATAACTTATTTTTAGCATTACTTTGACATTTCTGTTGTTTTGTTAAGAATAATTATTGACTTTCTAAAAAAACATAAAAGGTATCCAGATCAATATATTGATTGATCGAATTAATATTGAATATCATAAAACATTATCAATACATTACTGTTTTAATACTAAATAGTCGTTAATTGGACAAAATTACATACAAACTACATTTGAAAACATTCAATTTCATAAATAATTGAATGTTTAATAGATTAGAAATTAAAAAAAAACACATTCTTGATAATTAATTTGTCTTACATCAGTAATGCTGATATCAAAAAGAAGAAAAAAAGATCTAATCATAATGATGATTAAAAAAGCAGAAGTTAGTTACTGTGTAGTTTAAAAAAAAATCTGATCTGATCACTGGACAAATGACAGGAAACACATTAATCTTTTAATAAACAGTCAACCTTATGTTTTTTCTATAAAAAATATCTTTTTTTCTATCATTAAACGTTAAACATTTAAACAGATAGGGTTTATATCAGTAAGGGGGATTAAAATGAATTAGATTAGAATATTGATACTTGACAATCAATATGTTAATGGAATATCCTTAATAATTAAATAAAAGGAATAATTATGACAACTTATAATGTTGATTATTTTGTGTTTTATAAATTGGTTAGTTGATTTATGTATGGTGCTTCTATTGTATTTCTGGATAATGTAATCAACATTTCTCTTTATAAATGAATAACAGATTGTTTTGTCAATATTGAAATTTTATTAATTAATACATAAAATGTTACTGTTATAATCGATATAACTCAGGCTGGAGCCCTTCTTAAGCTACTGCCGGTCCCGAGTCCGGATTAAGGAAGAGGGGATGTGGTTAGCGACCCTATCCCGTAGAAAACTGGCACGAGAAAAAAACGCTAGCCAGAAAAAAATAATTGAAACCATTTGAACTCTGTTTTGGGAATCAGAAGGTCTTCATTTAGAAGAGTTATGACGCCTCATGGTGAAAGCCGAGTTTCCTCGGAAGTCACGAGGCTGATGCCCCTTCTGAAAACCAATACAACCATTAATTTAGGTACATGGAATGCTCGTACAACGTAGGAGAGTCATCCGAATTGCTGCATTATCGATATATTCATTGTTGAGTAATTTTGATAGCTATTTATTATTGATGTTATCTGGAATGATAATGCAAGGCTCGTGATTGGATCATTCAACTGAGACAATGTGATATCATCATAAATTTTGTTTCAATTTGTAATATTTCATCAGTTTCAGTTCTGCAAATTTATAGGATTAATAATTTTGTAGTATCTTAGGTTGTTTTTTTCTCAAACAAGACATGATTTGTAACCACTTATAAATTGAAATCCTGATAATACACTTATTATTATACAGAGTATGGAAGTTATTATGTCATTCATAAAGGTAATAATCATAAATTATTAATGTGAATAGTGATTGAGTAATCTGTCAAATTCTATTCCGATACTTTACAATCTAACTGATTCGTATGCATTACTTATAATTATAATGATGAAAAATATAGAATTATATGGATAACACTAAAGTAAATTGTTTATATTAAGACTTCAAAGGTTAGACAGAATATCTCAGAAATTAGAATGTTGAACAAAGTAATCCTTGATTGGTTAGTGAGTTGATTTTATTACAACTGAATGACTAATTTCTAGTTTGGAAAAAAAACTCTAAAAATTCATTTCATATAATGAGGCTTATTTATCGGGTATAGTTTATATTTATATAAATCTATTTTTGGTTATGCTTTATGTGTCAGATTATACATTTGCACTCAGTCAGCTAACCATAACTAACATAGAGCTTGGTATATATGTACTTCAGTCCAAGTTCCTATACTATATCGACACAAAAATTATCAATTTGAATATCAGAGTAGTAGAAATAATAATAATAATATCATGAGTAGTGAGAAACCAGTTTCGCAGGCGATATGAATTAAGAAGAAAGAATTCATTTTTGGGATATAAAGTATCAGACAATTTTAAAACAAAAAATCTTAATGAAAGGGAACACAGCTTACTTTGATATTCAATGAATTAAATAATAACTACACATATTAGTTTGCCCATCACTGATTACATGCACATTCTACTAGAATATCTTAAATTCAAATGAAGCA